GCGGTCGACTCGCAATCTGAGGGTCGCAGGTTCGAATCTCCGTCACACCAAATATGCTCGCCCTTTCAGCCGTGGGGGCGTTATAATGTGACGGTCAATCCCACTATTCGTTGGTACAAGAGTAGCCCAAGAGTTGGTGATGACTAGCTGCCTTCCCTCTAGTCTTACACTGCTAAATTAGGGACGGCTGGCGCAGATAGCCCTCGTGTAGCTTTGCGCGAAATTCAAAACCAAACAAAGAGAACAAATAATTATATCATGCGTAGAAATATTTATCAGGAATGATTTTAATTTTAACCAAATGAATCCGCCAAGCTTCCCGAGTGAGAATATTTATTTCCATGTCTTATACCGCTATATAACCTGTATTCTGTTTTCTTCTAAGCATTCACCTGAAGTGTTCTTCTTACTGGTTGGATGTAATGGCAATATACCAGTTTTATAGTATACAGCGACAAGTGACAGTTAAGTTAGTTCCTCTTTATTTTCTTCACTTCCTTCTCTATCTCTGAAATACTGACGAAGGAAAATATAATCATTTAAAATAAATGTTACCTGTTCTTTTTTTTTTCTCTCATTATGAAGGGTAATATTGTTGTAACAGAAAAAAAAAAACACTCACACACACACACATTATATTACGTATCTCAGTAACACGGTTATAAAAGTTCCTCCACATTAATATAGTGTTTTATTTCAGTAACACGCTTTAAAAGTCCATCGATATTAACAAGTGTTTGTATGTTCTGCATAGAGTCTCACAAAGTGTCGCAAGGGTTGTATTACAAATTCATCCCCAATCACAGACGCAAATAATCAAAATACAGTTGAGAAAATAGAAACCCTACCTGACTAATTCGTTTCTGCTGACTTTTCAGTTGTTCCCTGAGATATTGAAGCTGATTTATCATATCAGTCAAACAGCGTTCTTTCTCATTTAACGCATCATCAGCACAAGTAGTTGGTATTATCTTCCTGTCATCAGCACAGGTAGTTGGTATTGTCTTCCTGTCATCAGCACAAGTAGTTGGTATTGTCTTCTTGTCATCAGCACAAGCAGTTGGTATTGTCTTCCTGTCCTCAGCACAAGCAGTTGGTATTGTCTTCCTGTCATCAGCACAAGTAGTTGGTATTGTCTTCCTGTCATCAGCACAAGTAGTTGGTATTGTCTTCCTGTCAGTTTAGTTACTGTGTAATCTAGGCTATAAGTACCAAATACAATTAAAATTTATAATATTTGTTGTTACTGATCTGGCCGTTTAGTTCGTGTCGCATAATGTGCCATTCAGGCTATAAGTATCGAAAACCGTTAAAATATACAATATCTGTGGTTCCTGACCTGGCCGTTTAATTGATGTGTCGTGCATAATGTACCATTCATGTTGTAAGTACCGAATACCGTTAAAATATACAAAATGTACAAATAAGTGTTACATTAGTAATATGTGAAAAATGGTGTAGCCGAACAAAAAACAATACCATAAAATATATAACGTAGACATTTACAGTACTTTATACCGTCTTTAGATTGGAACCAGTTCCACAATCTTCTGAAGTAAAAATCCTGACCCAATCGGCCAGGTCAGGAACCACAAATATTGTATATTTTAACGGTATTCGGTGTTTATGACCTGAATGACACATTATGCGACACACGACCTAAACGCCAGGTCAGGAACCACAAATATTGCTGAAAGTAAGTCGATTTTTGTTTTGTTATGCCCATTTTGTTCCATTGGACACATTACATTAGAATTAGTTTAAATTAAACACGTGTACATTATGAGAAGTATTGTATTATTAATGTATACATACACTCTACGATCTTAAAAAGCTAAATAAATAGCACAGAATATGTGGTAAGTATCTCTAACATAAACACCTACTATCTATTCTGTGCTACTTATTTAGCTTTTTAAATTCTTTTATTTAAAGAACGATTAAAATATAAATATCATATCTATAGATAATAAGTCATTAGAATATTTAAAACTTAGACCATTTTATTAATTAGTAAATTCTAACAAAAAACTTATTTTTAAAGTTATTAGTTATTATTAGTAGGAGAGTTCTTTAAAAGATTACACATATATTCTAACAATTTATCATATACCGATGAGTTGAAGATCTGGAGAAATTGGAAAAGCACAATATCAATTTATGTTTATATCTTATACAAAGGTTTTACTAAGTTTGATAGTGTTTATATCCAGTCATGAAAATAGACTTATTGTCAACAATAACGTTTTTTTTTCACGAGCCCAATAGTTTGCCTAATACAACCACTAGAGAGCCATGTAATAATTTATGTAGCCATTGTGATGTTAACAAAACCAACCTCGGTAGCATTAACAGTCAGTGTTTGAAAACATATTATATCTTGTCCATATCTGAGTCGTTCCAGGTCTCCTTACTAACACAGGGAAAGTCAGAGCTATGACTTCTGGAATCTCTATCTATTTTTTTATTTTATAGAAAACCCATTCTTATTTGGAAGAGGAGTGTGTTATCTCTGATTTTTAAAGTTACAAGTTACTTAAGAACTTTGATAATATTAGATGTTTCAAATTGTTACACAACTTACATACTGGTGCACTCACCGTCTGGAACCAGTGTTGGAAACACTTGTATGACAGTTGTATAAAACAGCTGATTCGTCACCAAGTGAAGCGCTGGTGTTCATTTTAGAAGCAAGCCGCTTCAACACATCATCCATCGAGCGCTTCCCATGTGGTCCATTAGCTGGCCGTAAGGTATCCGTGGTTAGAGATGGTTGTGGCGACTGGCTGACCTCAGATGGAGCCTGACTTTCCCCTTCAGTGGTGCTGTGACCCTCTTCAGAGTCACATTCTGAATCTGTCGAAGACTCTGAGTGGCCAGAAGAAACGTTCTGTAAAAGTCGTCGCTTTCGGTTTTGCATCAGCCTAGAGGTTGGTTTTATGTCAAAGTCCCTAATTCCACTGTCACACGAGTCGACTTCAGTGTCGTCATGAGGTGCTTCTTTAGATTCTTGTGGTCCACGTCCAACCTCAAAGTAGCTCAGCCGTTGAATAATTTCAGTGTTCCGGCGATGAATGTTGTCTTCTGCAAGATCTGGGAAGCTTGAAAGAGAATCATCGTCGTTAAGATCTATTGCAGAATAGTGAAAGTCGTTGCTTTTCTCTATGTTTGACGGAGCATCGACGTAGTTGTCTTGATTTAGTTCATTCGTTAACAGCTTTGAAGGTGGACTCTTGCGTTTTGAAGACATCGTTCTGTATGAAAAATTAAATAGTAAATTAGGACTAAGATAAGATTTTAATTACTGATGTAAATGCTTCTATATAGGTTAAACAGTGGACCTAATCTTCATAATCTTGGGTTTTTAAAAATGAATGTATATTTTATTTATTTGTTGTCCAGCGCAAAGCTGAACAATGAGCTATCTATGTTGTGCCCCAACGAAAGGATTGAACCATTACTTTAGCATTATAAGCCCTCAAGGAAATATATTTACATATATGAGAAATATAGGATATTTTTGAGCAGTGCAAGTTAGTCCATAATGTCCCCCAGTGGCATAGCGGTATGTCTGTGGACTTACAACGATAGAAATCGGGTTTCAATACCCGTGGTGGGCAGAGCACAGATAGCTCTCCACACGCCAAAAATAGTATCTATTATTGGATTGCTTTAATTGGTAAGCTATAAACTTCGGAAGCTATAACTGTGATAGTTATAACGTTTATTAATCGCGAAACTTAAGATATTTGACCAGGAACGTTTATAAATTTCGAACATTACAAATCATTTAACTTCAGCGGATTCACATTGGACATTAGTACTTTTACGAAAACATTACTTAACGTCATCGGTGGAAACTTGACCTGTAATAGACGTGTGATCAACAGGGCTAGTTACCTCCCTATTAAGAGAATTGTACCTACGTCAACTCGAAATTAACTCGCTCATCGTGAACCCTCGATAAGACATCAAGGAAGTTCCATTCTAGAAAGGAGACTGTATTGTTTCTAAGTTTTGGAACTTTTGTATATAAGTCATTGTTTTTAGTAGCTGTTTGTAATAACTGTTATTGTAAATTGTGTTATTGTTTGTATATTAAAACATATTTGTATACAAAAATACTGTATGTATCAATGTTGTTGGGAAATATCATAAACTGAAGATATATCAGCATTTATTTAACTATTAAATCTAAATTACAATTTAACTCAGTTTCAGACCATTCGAAATTGTAATACGTAACAATGTCTAGAAATGATTTCCCAACTGTTAACCGAGCCAGTAACACACTTAAGGTTCCTATAATATCTTATAACAACGTTATAAACAACAACAACAAAAAACAAGTAATATACCAACAGGCTTGGCATGGCCAGGTAGTTAAGGCGCTCGACTTGCAATCTGAGGGTCGCAGGTTCGAATCTCCGTCCCACCAAACATGCTCGCCCTTTCGGCCGTGGGGGCGTTATATCGTAACGGTCAATCCCACTATTCATTGGAAAAAGAGTAGCCCAAGAGTTGGCGGTGACTAGCTGCCTTCCCTCTAGTCTTTCACTAATAAATTAGGGACGACTAGCACAGATGGCCCTCGTGTAGCTTGGCGCGAAATTCAAAAACAAAACCAATATGCCAGCAAAGAAATCATCAGAATACATTAACATTATCAAAACGCTGTTACATGTAGTTTTCTCAAACTACTGATTGTGGTCTAACTTATACGAATAAAAATGGCATTTAATATTATGTATACAAATTGTTTCAGAATTAGTAATAAAAGAAACTGGAATATCAACTGGCGATCTACAAAGTCCAGTAAATTGTTGTTATTAATTTTCTATTCAAATATATTCCATTCACATACGTAAGATATTTTTGAATTTCAAGTAGCATCGCTCACTGGAAAATAATGACATACACTCAGCCAACTATTTGTATCTTTACTGGACGATTTTTTTTTTTTTACTCGTGAATTTTGCTGTCACCAACTGTAAATAATATTTTCAGGTTTTTCCCAGACATTCCTTATGCAGGTTGTTATCAGGCTAATCAGAACTAGATATACCGTCATGGGTGAAGAACATTTACAAGATATAGCGCATGTTACACGTGTCTCTTGCTTCTAAACGCGAATATTATAAATTCTGTTAGAGATGACCTTGTTAAATTGTGAGGGAAAAGGTGGGTATCGTATTGGGGAAGCTTTTTGATTTTTTTTTTCAGATAGAAAAAAAATATTATAAGCTTTATTTAGAATGTTTGAAATCACAGATTTATCGTTGAATTATAGAATTAGATTGTATTTATTTAAATTCAATTTATTCAAAAATAAGTCGGCCCAAGTATAAAATTTTAGATTCAAAAACTAAAACTATATAAAAAGCACGGTTTTTAACTGTTTGTGTGTATATATATATAAAAGCGTGTTGCTTGAATTACGTTTAAGAATATTAGTATTAACGTTTAAATAAACATTATCTATTCGTATAGTTTTCAAGAGTTGGGGAAATGCATATCTTCGTCAGTATAAAAAAAATTAAACTTTCATGTTTTTACAAGCCGTAGAATACACGTTCCTAAAACTCAACACATGGCAATACACGTTCCTAAAACTCAACACATGGCAATACACGTGTTCTCAAAACTCAACACATGGCAATACACGTGTTCTCAAAACTCAACAAGTTCTCCATAGGATATTTAAGTCCTTTTGTTAAGCTCATGTAAATCTACATTGATTTAAAAATCATGGGTCAGAAAAATGTATATTCTAAGAATAAACATGAAAATTATTTTACCGTATAAAAATATTGTTTTTTTTTTTCAAATACATTACCCAGAGAGGCATTTACTCTACGATACATTCGATAATAATGCCATCAATTTCAAGAGAGGAATTGTACTCAAACGCAACTGAATAAATTATGTATTTTCATATCAAGAATACATCAGTTTATAATTTTTTTCAGGCACATTGTACTACACATTTAAGAGTAATAAACACAAAACACTATCCCCGGTAGTAAATGCGTTACTGAAGCTATTCAGCTGTAACCTATAATAAAACTTTTATCTTTCGTTGTGCCAAAAAAAACGTCGTTTTTCGTCTTTTACTCTAAATCAATCAGTTTTCAAATAGGCCAGCAATAAGTTTGCCGAATTTAGGCGCTAAAATCTAGGGTTCAATTACCCGCGATAGAGAGGGCATATTTGACCCATTGTTTAGCTTTACTACGATTGTTTGTTTGTTTGTAGTTAAGCACAAAGCTACACAATGGGCTATTTGTGCTCTGCCCACCACGGGTATCGAAACCCGGATTCTAGTGTTGTAAGTCCGCAGACATACCGCTGTGCCACTGGGGGGGGGGGCTTTACTACGAAATACAAACAGTTCGATCTTTGTTCTCTGGTAGATCAGAAGTAAGATTGCCTACTTACAACGCTAAAATCTGGGTTTCGATTCCCCCACGATGATAAATAAAGCGAAGCCCAAATAGTGCCTAGACCGGTATATGCCACTTCTATCCCAGCCGAGTTGATGAGCTCTGGTATTGGCTGAAAGAACTGTTGACGCTCGATATGGTATATATAGAATATTGTTGATTTACTATTAGAAGTTCTTCTTTGCTTTCAATATTAAGCCCTTATAACCTGCAACACAAACAATCCGACATTTAGTAGCGGAAAGTGGATGATTTTAATGTTAGCTTAACTGAAAAAATATAATGCACATAAAACGTATACACAAAATGAATTGCATTATAAGATTTATAACTGTACAAAATATAATTATTTCATCCTATTAAAACCGGTATTCTATTTGATCAAGATTTGCGATTTAAAAGTTAATACTGGGGAGTTTAGTCCTTCGTTCTATAATGATAGTAATTTGTTACCAAGCACATGTACATCTTTTGTTAGCAATAAGGTTCCAACTCACGATAAGCTTGATGAAGCTGGTGAAATCCAAGCCAGCGGTTGATAATGTTGTGACCTCTAAACGGACACAACTCAGCGCAAGATGGATAAAAAACAACAACCAATACTTGAAATTTCATCACCACAAAAACATAACCATCTGCACATTTAAGTAAGGTTTCAACAATCATTGCTACTTCACTTGTCCGGTCGCTGGTTGTTCGCCACTGGATGGCCTACAAAGTTGATTGTTTTATTTTTAAATACTTCTTGAAGTTCAATTCGGTCGACAATTTTCAACAGCCTGACCAGAAGTACCAAATATAACGTTCCTCATGAGAAAACTTCAGGTGTGGAGGGATAAAAACAGGGGAGTTTTGAACAAAGCAAATTGCTTGATTAATAAAATCTACGCCCCTGGGTCTAAGGTTGATGAACCGTTTTCCATGCCTTCCCCCCTCCCTTCCATTTCATCAAGAGTTATTATAAAACTCTGCAAAACAACGGGAGAGAAACATCTCAGAGCATATAATGAGGATCGTCGCGTAGACCTCATGTACAAAGGTAGAGAAGAAGGTGTGGAATGTGCCAGTAATGACCAAAGATAAAAAACCGATTTATTCAATATAGGAAAGACGACGGAAGCACTTGGAAACAGTGATGTATGTTTAATGAATTGGAAAAGTTGTTTTCCTCTCCACACTAACTAGTCTAATCGAAAAATAGGGACTAGCCTTACAAGGTCATCAGCTGATAGAGAAAATTAGCAATGAATTAGAAGCTAATTAGCAATATCCAATAACTCCTTGAAGTTACCAAATATTTCGTTTTTACATGCAGGCTACATGCGACGATGACAGTAACAGCTGATGTCTAGTTTGCAAATGTAAGAAATATACATGAAATATACATTACGAATACCTTTAATTAAAGCTTAATTACTTACTGAATTTCCTTCTCATTAGACAAAGTTTCATTTCCACAAATCCCTAAGCTGAGTTTTCATAAAAACTGCAGTAACCACATGTCAAACATGTTTCTGATCCTTTAAGATGAATAATATAAAACATTTTGCATTTCTTCAGTCAAAACGCGATGCTTTCCATCTTTACTTCTAATTTGCTGAGTTTTTACACATGGCTTATTTTTTAAAGTTATCGTCTACTGGACTGTAAATGTAGTTAATCTAGAAAGTAAGTTAAACGAGCTCCGTAAGATTTCTCACGCCACTCCAGCTCTTTTCCCAACTTTAATTACCTGAATATTTCAAACTGACTAATTGCTCCAGTTATCAATATATTTTCAAATGGGAAACAACCAACCATATCTCTCATGA